TAGAATGAGAATAATGAAAGCATATCTTATCTTCAATCGTGCACGTGTCTGCCGTATAGCTTATACAAAAATTTCGATTACATAAACTATATAGATATATAGTTTATGTAATCGAAATTTTTGTATAAGCTATACGGCAGACACGTGCACGATTGAAGATAAGATATGCTTTCATTATTCTCATTCTAAAACAGACATACAAAAGAGTGATCGTTATATACACGACACTTCTTATTTTCTTTACGTGAAGTGCAAGCTATTTCTATACTTGAACTTTTTGCAGTTTATATCTGCATTTTTTGACTTTTTCAAAGTACAGATACATAAAAAAACGTAATTAATTCACAGGAGAAGTGTACAGCAGTTTCATTGAGTGAGTAGGGCGCATGCACCGAGTAATTGACTAAGGACTTTATGTCTTTTCAAAACCTGGCGTTTCGTAAATTGCTTCGTTAAAAATTTTCTGACTGGATAAGAATATAGAGCAAACATTTCTCTAAAAATGAGAGGTTGGACAGCTCTGTATGATTTGTTTTGAGATTTCGGCAGCGATACCTCGAGAATACATAACCGAGTAGTAAACGAGTCTTAATTACTCGATTAGTCCCTTATGGAGGCATCGTTGTCGAAATCTCAAAACAAATCATACAGAGCTGTCCAACCTCTCATTTTTAGAGAAATGTTTGCTCTATATTCTTATCCAGTCAGAAAATTTTTAACGAAGCAATTTACGAAACGCCAAGTTTTTGGAAAAGATATAAAATCCTTAGTCAGTTACTCAGTGGATTCCTATGAGTGAGAGAGCAGAAAGACTTAAATCAACGACTATATATAATATACAAGTTGAACAAGAGTTTTGCAAGAGTTGCGCAAGAACAGAAAGAATTAGGAAAATCCCATGATGAAGCAAGAGTTGCGTAAGGATGGTACAATACAGAATCTTGTGAGCTGCCGAGGGCGGCATGTCATAACACTTAACTAAAGTCACATATTACAAATAAATTAAAATCAATTTTTTGAATTTTTTAACCATTTATCGTTAGAATTACACTGTCGTTTCTTCTATAGTTCTAATTTAGAGTTCATTCTTTCAAAGTTAATTTTTCAAATTTCAAACAATAGATTTTTCCTTACAATTGGGTTTTATCGACAAATTCATATCACGTATCTGATAAACCCTGGGACCCGCACGACAGGAAGAGTGATGTTTTTGGGGACGGCTCACGAATCTCAGAATACTCTATTTATTACAAACTATCCAAACACCTATATGATAATGATCTTTATGACAAGATATGCTAAAGAGGGTATAAATCTTTGCATATTATGTAATAACCCGCCAATCTTTTCATCTCAAATATGACGCTGAAGTAGTAGGACTTCAAATTAATTGCCCGAGGGGGACGAAATATGTTCCCCATGGGAGATTTATTTATTGGGGGCAAAACGGTCAGATGGAGAACTGTCCCCCTCAATGGGGGATATCTGAGAACCCTGATGCGCACTGACGTTAGATTTTGACATTCTTTCTGGCACCGATACCCACGTACCGGTGTGCGGTATACTTTATGAGCGCTTGTTCGCCATCGATACTATTCTGTAAACCTAGTACGATACTGATGAAAATCAGTTCAGTACAGATACTAATCGGCACTGGTGACGCGCTGTGAAATTTTTGCAGTGCATTTGTTCAATAGTACAAAAAAATGTCGTTTTGAAGACGAAAAACATACAGGATTTGGACATGTTAACCAGGCATATGAAAGGAAGTTCACGTCTAAGTCCGTTCAGTGCCCAGTTCTTAAGGCATATGTCCTCGAACAGGGCGCATTTTGATAAGGACACATTTCAAAAGCAAATTTTTTTAAGAGTGTGTTTTTTCTCCCGTGCCTCAGAAATCGAAAGTTGACAATGATCAGGACCCAACGTTGAGAACTTTGAAAAACTTTTGAATTTGTCCCGTTTTGGGTATAAAAACACATTTGGTCAATGGACAAATTCTGAACATGAACTAACTATGTTTTGCACAGAGAGACAAAAAACAGTATCTTATGAGTAGTGTAATTCAAGCAGTGCGAGAATTGAACCACTTTTTTGTGGCACACTATTGTTCTGAAGGAAGAGGGGACTTGACGTCTATAGTGCGGAGAAATATAATACTAGAGCTTTTTATTATCCTTGCGGACGGACACATATAAGAGTCATGAAAATTCATGGTCATCTCTTAAAACTGAACTCAAGAGGAGCAGTAAGTTTTTACTTTCTATGTTTCGAATCTCCCTGATTTCCCCTCCGAGTATTTGTTTTTTTAAGTCATTTGTCATATCTTTACAACTGTTTTGTTACGACTGTAGTTGACTTGATATAACACTTATATGAGAATAGTATCTAGGTAAAGAGAAGGAAGCAATCTCTTAGATAAGTTGCAACCATGATTTCTTGCAGAGATAATTTATTCCTAAGGTAAATAAATTCCAAGACAATCTTATGTGGTTTACTCTTATTAGAACAGAAGATTCGATGTTTACCGAATCTCTAGATGTGAAACACGTAGCTCGACGGCAAGCCAGTTTAAGTTCTATTGCAGCTCACTAGTGACATCCACTTGTGTAGCATCTTTGACTATATTTCTAGCAACTTAGCATGGTGAAATTATTCCGAAAAATTATGATCATAATCAGTCATCATATGACCTGGTTATAAAACAGTAATACTCTTTCTCATTTTAAATAGCTCTATTTCTGACATCTTCTGTGAACTCCATGCCATGAATAAAATATAATCTAATGTATAATTTAAATTGAAGTATTTTTGTTTCTTCAGCATACTATCATACAGGCCCATTTTAAATACAAATTTGGAAAATATATCAAATGTCTATAAAATAAAACAAAAACTATTAGAACTCAATAATGTTTATAAAATTTGACCTGACGTTAATACATCCGGTAACTTCTTTCTACTTTATTCGTCTCTTGTAGAAATAATTTTTCGAATCATTATTCATATACTTTACCTTGAGAAATCCAGTAAGAAAGACGTACTCAGACCTTGATCGAACACTTTCTGCTTAGAATAAGCTAAAAAAATGTCTGGAAATCACATTTGAGAGCACGCTAGGACATTCTAAGAACACCTCAACTTTTTCATGCCAGTGTAAAAAATAAGTGAAAACGCTTGTCGCTAGAGCAAGTGAGAATTGTTAGCAACCCTTACATGCCAAGCGTGAATATGAATAATCTTGTTTTCACGTTGTACCAATGACACATTTTCAACAGAGGAAAAATCTAATAGTCCAGGAATTTGAACCAAATTTAAACCATTTAAAGTATAATGATTTATGGCTAAATGAATAGCATACATTGATAAAACCTGAAAAATGCGACGAATGATAAATAGTTATTAAGCGCTATGACGATGAACAAATTTACCCCAAAGTACCAGTCTGGCCAAGTGTGTGCAGCCGTTTTGGGAGATTTTTCGTATTCGGTAAATTCTTGTTCTGCCAACCAGATACTAATCCATAAACCCAACCGTGCTACCAACAGACATTTCGATGGATTACCGTACCTTATAAAATCAGATTATTTTATTAGAAAGAAGATGAAACTTCTTCAAGTTCTTTTTTCCTTACCATGTTGAGCCAATATTTACTAAATGTGAGTAATTCAGACCAATACTGTATGAAAGACGGTGCAATTTTCGAATATTATATGAATCACTATAACCACCTTGACCTGATTCAAAAGAAAGAATGAAATAATAAATGGCAAATCTAAGACTTTTCCACAACTAACCAATTTGAAATGTACAGTAAAATGGAATATAATTTGCGAACTGTGGTGTCAAAAATGAGTCGATATCTGTTCTTAGAACGAAATCATACTGTTTAATATCATTGTAAGAATCGTATAGAATAGCTATGGAGTCTAGATAACGATAAAATGGCATATTTTTTAATATTAGTAAAAGTAGACTTCGATCTACATGCGATTTTATGCGATTTGTAGAAATATTTAATCGTTCAGGATTATATAGTGATAAATATTTGATTACAAAACAATCAGATGGTTCAGTTTTTGATTGACGACTACCATTTTTACAGCCTAAATTGTCTAAAAGACAAAAAAGTTTTGTGTTTATATAAGTATAAAGAGCAAAGGTTATTCTCCATGTATGTGAGAGAAAACAAGAAACAGATAAACGGACATTACATGGTATGTTAAGATCTAGTGCTTAAAAGTTTTATCTAATTTCTGTTTTATTTATTACCAAAAATTTTATGATGATAATCTGTAAATATGAGAATATCCGTTATCCATTTACTGGATTGTAATTTTAGAATTTCAATCCATGTTAAATACAACCATTTTAATTCAGACAAATATGTTTGTATTTGATTGTATGGAAAATATATTAAAATTGCTCGTAAGATTATTTCATTTTGTGCTTGTTGTTTTGATGTAAAACATCTCGGTTTTGATTGATAAAAATATTTATGAATAATATCTGATTTAATATGCTGTTTAATATTATAAATAACATTTGATGAATTCACATTTTCTAAAATAATTGTTTTAATGATAGTAGAAGGTGAAAATGTTGTCGTTAAAATAATTGATGACGATTGTTTATTATGTTTATATGAAATAATGGTGAATAATAGCAAAATATTAATTAATAGAATATTTCGTATAAAGGTATTTTTAATTCGAAAATAGTGTTTTAGTTTTAAACACTTCGGTGTCAGAGTATGCATAATTCGATTATCAATATTTCTACTTATAATGGTAATTGTTCGAAAATCGCTAGAACAGTCTTTTTGTCGTTATAATCAGAAATTTTACAACACTTTCAATGCCTACGAAATTCAATGTTGAGACAACATATTTCTCACTCGCACGTTTACAATAGAGAACAGTTAAGCATCTTTTGAATATAAAAAGGTATCACGCAGAGAAGTTTTGAATCGAAAATTTGTCCTTCTCCTTCAAATGAAATATATTTGTTCAACAATTTTGTATTGTACGAAGAAAACAGAGGGAATTATCTGTGATTAAATTTACTGTTCCTCAGCTTTATTTTTCGGTAAATCATCACATAATCATTTTTTCATGTATTTTTTCATTCAATCATCACATTCAGGTTTTTGACCAAACAGATCAACAGCCGATCAAATTTTCACCTTAAAAATGATCATGGAAAAATCACAGGAATACAATAAATCATTGTTTATGTGCTTCAGCGACATCTAAAAAGCTTATGATTCGGTTAATCGAGAGCTGTTGTGGAAGGTGTGTAGACATTATGGTTTGTCGGAACAACTCGTTCGAATGCTAAAGCTTCTCCATACTAACACGGAAGCACAAGTGTGAATCGACGGTGATTTTTCGGAAACATTCGACATTGAAACCGGTGTCCAACAAGGTGGAATTCCATCTCTCGTCCTGTTCAATCTCTTGTTTGACTTTATCATGCGTAAGGTATTGGCTGAAGTGTATCTGGGGTGAAACTGGCATATGGAAATGGTGATTTTTATCATTCTACGCGCGAGACACATGAAAATATTGAAACACTCGATTTGATATACACGGACGACGTGGTGGCAATGTGCACACCAGCGGCTGATCTCGAAAAGTTTATTCGAACATTCGAGAAAGTGACTCAAGAATGAGGATTGACAATGAATGTCAAAAAGACGTGCATAATATCTTTGAAGCAGCTTAAAGAAGACGCGTCCAGAAAAGTAATCAAAGATCAGGAAGTGGACAATGTAAAAATTGATATTACGATCAGGAATCAAACCGTTGATATAGTCGAGTACTTTGCATATCTGGGGTGTTTCGCGACGAGAGATCACTCACAAGAAAAGGAAATTGAAACGAGAATAACAAAAGCATCTGGGGCGTTCAATATGCTTCGAATGCCGATTTGGTATCGTAAAACTGTATCATGTGAAGCGAAAATGCGTATATTTCGTGCTTGTATTCTACCTGTTCTGTTATATGGGAGTGAAGTGTGGTCTCTAACACTGGCTCAAGAAAGACGGCTAAATACATTCTATATGGCTTGTCTAAGAACATTAGTTGGTGTAACATTAGGCGATCGAATGTCCACTGAAAAACTTTTGGAACTGAGTGGTCAACCAAATTTGTGAAAAACATAATGAGAAGAAATCGGTTAAGGTGGTTTGGCCACGTAAACAAGATGGAAGATGTGAATAAAAATCCGAAATTATTAAAGAAAGTTATGTTTTCGTATTTTCCTGATGCTCGAAGACCTCAAAATGCAGGCGTAAGGAAACGATGGGAAGATAAAAGCGCAGATGATATTGCTAAATTCGGAATCAAGAATTGGCGGAGAAACGATGGATAAGGACAAGTGGCGTCAGATTATCAACAAATACGTGCAAATTAAACCCATACATTCGAATATCCAAAAACTTGTACATGAATATAAGGAACTAGCAAATCGGCGGCGAGCAGAAGAGCTTGCTCGAAGTAGTCAAGTTAACACAACCAGCACCGTAACTAGTCAAACTCCACCAATGTCGACCGGAGTGGTCACAAATATCTGTTCCAATTGTGATCAAGTGTGTATAAATCAACGAGGTGTAAAGATTCATCGACGAACTTGCGATAAAAAAAGTAGTTAAACAAACTCCAATGGGTCAAGGATTAGTGTAAGAGACATGGGATTAGGGTGGATTAAATGCAAATATTCACGAATTACCGAGAAGGCTGAACTACGGTGATTTTGTAAAAGGAAGGGTACCTCCAAAACCAGATCCATGTGTGGTGTGGAGGTGATACGCGGATGATACACCTTATCATCCATGGTTTTACGACGAGTGAACATGAAAAAAATCCGATAAAACTTTTGCGTTCTCTTGAGCGCAACCAAAATTCAAAGACTTTATCAGCTCTTCTCTTTGTTTTCTCATTTTTTTATCTTCACCCTACACCGGTTTTCGGTATGGGTATGTTCTCTCTCTCTCTCGCACAGATTTATTTCATGTTATAACAAGAGGTTTGAATAACAATAAGATTACTATTGATCATATTTTTTTACGCTATCCATGTATAGCTACCCTATCCGTATCACAACTGAGAGAAGTCTACTTAGCTATCATTCGATATATTAAATGTACCAGTCGTTTTCGGCCGCCTTGATGCTGTGTATTTCTTTTCCTTGCATCTCCACTATTCACCCTGGCAGACAGATTATATTCCACTCTCCTCCCTCGTTTCTGCTTAGATCATCCATTCAGATTAATTTACTGAATTGCATTCTTACTTTGTTCTTTCTTCTTGCTATATAGTATATTCATTACTGTTTTATTTCGGTTATGGGCTTTTATATGTATTGTCTTAATGATTCTCTCATGCAAATTAGGTTTTTTTCTTTTTTCTCTCTTTTACTTTGTCGCTTCACTTTCTTTCAACATATAATGGGCTAGGCCCGCTTTGTTGTGTAAATTTATTACTTAGTTTCAAATCAACTAGTTTAGAAAAAAAAAACGAAAAACAGATAACTCTACTCCCATCGTCAATTGTAAACGCACGCAAATTGTAGAAAAAAATTACTCAGGTGAATGTTTTGGGGAGAAAGTCGAAGATGACCTTTTTTCATAAAAAAATCAGTGCGTTTTGTTCATCGTTTTGGATTGAACGTCAATAGTTTTTGAAATCAAAATTAACGGTGATAACGTGATCTATTCAATTCAACCATACAAGTATGTTTAGAAAATTATTTTGTATTAACAAATTTATTTATTTCTTTTAGAAAAACATGGCTTGATCTTTGAAAGAATCGTACCTTTTAATATCGATCAAACCAGAAAGACATCAATAAGTTTTTGACCCAGTTTATTATACCTCTTCAACTTATCTGGATTTCTTCTCTTAGACAAAGTTATAATTTTCTTGATAATGTTGAACCTCTTTTTCTTGCTGTTCATTTTACTCATTTGAATATTAACATTGTCAAGCATTAAACCCGGTTGGTTGGTTGCCTACAACGGAGATATGATCTTTTTAGCAGGCATCAATGTTAAAATTACAAAAGTCTATCTTGAGAAGATCACTGATATCGAATAAGTGCATTTTTATTCTTTACTTATATTTCCAATTAAATGTTCCAGTGAACATGGATCTCGAAGTGCTCGTACGATTTATTTTAACGAAATTTAGTACGTATATTCTTTGTCTTCATTACGTATCCATATGTCAAATGCCAACGATAAGATGCTTTCGAAATTACAATATGTGATTAGTACTGAAGACCTATTACCTAATCATACAGTCAAATTTACTGGCAACAAAATTCTTTTGGAATGCAAGAGTTCTTAAGTTATCTGTTAACACTTTGCCGTCATTTATAGATTAATAAGGCATTGAATTTATTTTAAGATATTTTATTGATTATTGTATAAAAAGAAAAAATGTTGCGCAAGAGTTTAAATAAATTTAATAAACGAATAATTCATCAATCATCGTATGTTTCACTGTTCATGAATTTGTATAAAATAAAAAATGTAAACTTGACGTTGCAATGATGTCCATATCTTCAGTTCTTTTTTTTTCTTTATTGAAAAATGTAACTGAATAAGAAATTTTAATAGGGATTTTTGAATATCTTGATGATTATGATCACTTCCAAGCTTTTTTACATCTCAGTTTTCGTTTTTCAAAATCTTCTTAAACGTTCACTTCTTTTAGTAGAAGTCAAATTTAGTTTTCTTAAACATCAATGTATATGCATAATTATTCCGAATGAACATCGAATTGTCTCACTTCATTTACTGAATCCTAATCTAAACATTTTACTTTTTGACTTCTTTACATTAGCATCGTTTTATAAACTAACGTATCGATTTATTACCTGATCTTGAGCCAGGCAACATTAGAAATTCAGGTTGATAAATAGAACTTGTTATAAAGTTTAATGTGTAAGTCAGTGAGTCGATCGATTACCGTAGATAATTATACATGATATTTTGTTTTTTATCCTCAATTAGTCGCAGGAGAATTCGTCGTGTAATGAAAAGAACACGCAACATGTGTAACTCACATTTTCTCTTTTATTGCGGCTAATTATGCGCGACTACTTGTTCATTGTCATACACTTATTATGTTATCATTACCTTGAAATATATAGTACGGTTATTTCTTGATAATTTCTGGACTTTTTTTAAGTACTGAATGAATCGTCATGTAAACAAAAAAGAAAAATGCAATAGCACGTACATATTCTCATCGACAGCTAAAATATACAAAACGTGCAGGAAAAAGTATCATAGGGAGAATGATTGTACATGCTATATTAAACTTCTATCTTCAATCATTGCAAAGAAATAATAATATTGTGCGCTGTATCCAAGGGGAAAACAGCTGAATTTGATACGTTTTTGAATTTACTTGAATTTAACTGAATTTTGATTGCTGTAATTCGGAAAATAAATGTGGCAACATTTGTTTTTCGAAACAGTTTCAAAAATCTAGTGAAAAACATTAGGGGAAATAACCCGTTTTTGCCTATTTTTGAGTAATATTAAAAAATTCATAACTCAGCCAAGATCCATCCAAATTATGCTAGAATACCAAGACGTACTCTGTTTTACCTGCTTAATACTCTACAGTTCAATAAAAGCTTTAAAAATCAACAGAAAATACTTTGGTTTTTTAAAAGGTATTCTAGAAATCTTCCGAAATACAAAAATGCTTTTTACTATTTTCAAGTAAAAAATCGTATTGAGCAGGTAAAATAGAGTACATCTTGGTATTCTGGCATAACTTGGATAGATCTTGACTGGATTATGAATCTTTTAACATGACTCAAAAATGGGTTATTTCAAGGTTTTCACTAGGTTTTTTTAACTGTTTTGAAAAACAAATATTGCCACGATATTCAACGTGGTCGATTACCTATGTTTTCATTTATTTTCGGAATTACCATACCTAAAGAAATATTGATCCTAGGGCTCTCAGGAAATCCGATGCCACGCGTGAACTAGGGAAAATTGAGAGTTAGCTTAGTTCCCATTTTCGAGAGGACACTTTGGACTATCTATCTATAAAAGCAAACTGATAGATTTTTATCTTATTTTCCGGAGATCCGAAGTGGTTTTCCAAGATATCCTAGATAACCGGTCTTCCTAACGGCTTCGCAAAAGGGTTTCGCTTACGAAAACATAGGCTAAACTGTCTTCTTTCGATTGTTGAAAATTACAAGCCTCTATCTTTTATCGTTTTGGAGTTATTCGTGGCGTCGATAGTAGAAAGGAAAGAGAAATCTAAACTCTGCTACACGAATGTTCTTCACAGTATTGGCTGTTTAATACCCACGCCGTTATCATGGTAGATTTCGGAGGTTAATTAGCATCTCTCTCTTTGACTCCCGTTCAATTTAAATAAAGTTTCATTGACTTTTTTAGGAATTTACGTGAATTCGGATAAATTTGCGTGATTTTGCATGAATTTACGTGAATTTTAGTGAATTCAGGTGAATTTTGAATTTACTTGAATTTAACGGACTAAATTCAGCTGTTTCCCCCTTGACATTTTGCATAAAACAGGGACGAAAGAAAGAAAGAAGAAAATAAAAAACAAAAATCTCTGCAAAAACACATAATGTCTGTCGACATAAATATTATCAAAGTTTTCTCTCTTGGAATTCTCAATAATTCTCTTTGGGCAGAAATGAGTTTAAAAACAAAATAATAGAATAAAAAGTCATTGAGAATATCGTCTATGTTCCAGTTATGTAAATAGATGCAGAAATTCTATTTAGAAAGGTATTGAGTGAAAAGAAAACATATCATTTTTGCTTTTGCTTCACTTTCATCAGAATAAGAAACAGAGTGAGTTAAGGTGCCTGACTAATGTGCGTTTAAAAGAATAAAATATTCATTCAATTACAGTGAGTAAAAAGTATTTCATGTTTCAATTTCATACAGCACTAACGAGGGAACTATCCCAAGTGTTAATCACAGATGCTAACGAGAGGTACCCCAGTCGATAGAGCTCGACGAGCTGATTCTAGTGGCATAAAGCATTTTTCCCAATGTTTCTTGAAGACCCAGTTTTCTAGAAAACCAGTTTTTCACAAACTTTAAAAGATAACCAAAACATTTTTAAATAAGATATAATTGTAGCG